AAAAGAAAAGAAAAAGAAATTCATGGAGCTTTCAGCAGTGATATTTACCACCAGCAATGTAATCAAATGGGACAACAAACAAAATGAGCTACTGATGCACCGCGGAGCAGAGGAATTTTCTCTAGCACGGACACCACAACCGACCCATTGTTTCGTTGGGATTAGTATTCACTACTTGCGCTTAGTTGCTTGCAATGGATACTCAATTTGTGAATTGAGCTGAGCTATAATGCAGTATTGTACACTGGAACACGGAGGCTGCAAATATTTTTAAAAAGCAGAACTCACTAGTAAAGTCAAACACCATGAACATCACAATTGATGAAAACTGACAATTAGAAAAATCTAGGTATGATAACATTGCTTCATTGACAAGGATGAAAATTGGATTATAATATATATTCAGCATGCAAAAACGGATAATGAGGGGAAATGCCGACAGTCAAAGCAACTATGGAAACAATATCCATAGCAACAAGTGGACTCATCTGAAGAGAGGCCCCAGGACTGCCTGCGGTAAGCCCCCTAGTGGCAATGACCGGGTAGTGGCCCTCTGCGAGCTGGGCGCCTCTCTGGAGATGGAGAGCCACTTCTTAGGGCCTGGAGAAGTTGACTTGTGTTGTATCCCACGGGGTCACCCCCACCTCCCCCTTTCCGTGCACTCGCTGGCATGAGACACAGCACATGTCCACAGACAACTGCCATTCCTCGTTGCATGTAAGGCTCCTCTGCTGGAAAACGTACCATTATTTCATGCAGTCACTAAGAGAGAAGCACAGCAAATTAAACTATGACACGCCATGGATTGTAAGATGCATCCCTATTCAAGAGATGATAGATATGAAAATAAATATATGTCTTATAATCTATAAAATATAAATGACTTTCAGCTGGGTGCGGTGGCTCATGCCTGGAACCCAGCACTTTGGGAGGCCAAGGCAAGTGGATTGCTTGAGCTCAGGAGTTCAAGACCATCCTGGGTAACATAGTGAGAGCCTGCCTCTATTAAAAAAATAATAATAATACTATATATGTATACATATATATGTATATACACACACGTATATATGTAAATGGCTTTCAGTGATTCACTTAACATTTCCAAATGCTTGTTCCCCGACTTATGAACTAAACAACTAAATCATTAATGAATTAATTCACTCATTCTACTCACATTCATTAAGTGCTGATTACTGGACAAGCACACTGGCATCGGCACTGAGGATACAGCAGCGAGCTGGTGTCCTGCCTTTAGGGAGCTTTTGTTACAGTGACTTGGTTTCTGATGATCTTTGTCACACTGAATCTGTGAGTCAGTGATCCTATGACCCTAAGTGAGTTACAGAGTGAAAATAGACACCAGATAAGAAGCCAGGAAACCTGGGTTCTAGTCTAGTTCTTCCCCTTAATAGTGTATTTAACCTGTCTCAGCCTTATTTTATTTATTAAGTGGATTTTATCCATTTATTGTCTATCATGGTTAAATCGAGAAATAGTTAATTTTTCTCATAGCAGACTCCTTCAAACAATACACAATCAAAACAGCAAAGTAGCTGTGGAAACAGTGTCCATGGCAACCAATGGTTTCCTTTCTTTGTTTCTTTGTTTCTTTCTTTCTTTTTCTTTCTTTTTTACTGAGATGGAGTCTCACTCTTTTGCCCAGGCCGGCGTGCAGTGGTGCGATCTCGGCTCGTTGCAACCTTCACCTCCTGGGTTCAAACAATTCTCCCAACTCAGTCTCCCAAGTAGCTGTGACTACAGGCACGTGCCATCATGTCTGGATAATTTTTGTATTTTTAGTAGAGGCAGGGTTTCGCTATGTTGGCCAGGCTGGTGTCGAACTCCTGACCTCAAGTGATCTGCCCTCCTCAGCCTCCCAAAGTGCTAGGATTACAGGCATGAGCCAATGAGCCACCATGCCTGACTTTTTTTTTTTTTTTTTTTGAGACAAGGTCTCTGAGTTTCAAGTCAAGGCTAAAAAAAATTTTTTTTTAAGTTTTCTAAATATGCTGGAATGCAGTGGTGTGATCATGGCTCACAGAAGCCTCGATCTCGCTGGCTGAAGTAATCTTCCCACCTCAGCCTCCCAAATAGCTGGTATCACAGGCGTGCACCACCACACCC